TATTTAGTCTCGAGCGTAATATTTGCGCGCGCGAAAACGAGGTAATGTTACATTCGCGAGACGAAATGTATATCTGCGGCAGTGGAATATCGCCTGAAGCGGGATAGTGCACATTCACCCCTTCGTGGGTGACGTCGCGAATGACTTTTCCGATGGTGTCGAGTGACAACGGCTTTTAAGCTGCATCTGCATTATGTAACGGAACAGTGTTAAGCTGAGTCTGCACTACGTAACGAAACAGTATTAAACTGTGTCTGCACAATGTAACGTAACAGTGTTAAGCTGCGTCTTCACTATGTAACGAAACATGTTATATAGCAAAGTTATAAAACTTGTTAAAAAAAACAAACAGAAAGAAAAATGTTATATAACGTGATGTTACATAACATTTTTCGTGTTATATAGCAAGTTGTATGTTATCCATTTAGTGTGCCACCCTTATTAATAATGAGACGCGAAATGTTATACAAACTTGTCTAGAATATATTAACTTGTAACAAGTTATAAAAAAAAAAAAAATTATGAGAAGTTGAAAACCTTTCTGCCTTATCGAATGCTCCGAAGCGGACCCGAGTTCGACGCACTCATCGAGGCATTACTGTACATGAATAATTAGTTAAATAAATATGTAATAATTAGTTATTCTATTTCTAGTTTCAAATACGTCTGCATCTGGAATAAAGAAGTCTTCATCCCCCTTTTCTCTCCCCCAATTCCCTCGTCGAACAGTTCGTAGAATGACGTTAATGTTCCACGATCACGCCAGAAGAAGTGTCGACGAGAATATCTCGCTCGAATAGCTATTATATTCGGTCCAGATGCTCGAAAGAAAGTAAAAGGAACCCTGAGGGTCGTGGGTCGTGACCATCCCCCGAACAATCTCCTCCCCGCGAGTCGTTCGCCAAGTGTTTTCGATTCCGCGAGCGTGGAAGCTACTTAATCGATCCCTCGACCCGCGCACAGCTGATCGTAATGGTTTCACTTGCCGGAGAAGTTTATGCCGGAGCCACTAGGAGGGAGAGAAAGCTCGTAATCTCCACCGCCCATCCCCCTGTGCGCCATCGAGGACCCTTGGAGAGAGGGAAGTTTCGGAAGCGACGATCATTTCATTTCCGGGCCGTGGGCACAGTGTTACGCGGCGACGAAACACCGTGGAGCTACTACCTACCCAAAGTTTTCGCCTCTGTGTTAGGAACTCTTGGGCCGGTGACACCACGAGCGTCGAAACGACGTTCGTTGCAACGGACGTACATGTACAGGGTATTTGAAAATTATATGTCGGAAGACTAAAAGTTTAAAATGTGATACACGTTTTAAATGTAAGATGTGTACACTTTTACAATATATTAGAAGTTATAACAAGACAGATAGAGTTCTGGCATAACAAAATTAAAATGAAAAGTACGCAAGAACATGAATTCAAAAAATGGTTTTATCTTGTCAAAACTTTAAGTTAATTTTGTGAGTAGAATTGATTCTAAATGGAGAATTAACTACGGACGGGGGAAAGGAAGCGAGTCGAGAAGAGAGATTGAGCGTCGCGACGACGACAATGCTTACATGCCTGCATATCGATGACAATATTTATGTAACAATAAACATTTTGAATTTTTTTTTTTTTCAGTAAAACTTTTACTATCTCATTTGTGAGATTTTTCTGGTTAAAATGATACACGGTATAATTTGGAGTATATTTACTTATTGATCATTTATGGCACTTAATCAATATTCATAAGTAAATGTAGTTCAAATTATATCGTGTTTGGTATCATTTTAAACAGAGAAATCTCAAACACACTAATAAAAATTTCATTACAATAGAATAAAAAATACCAAATTTTCATTATTGCATTCTCCCACTACCAAAATAGTACCATCCGCCATTTTGCCTCGTTGAGGGATTTTGCTAGCCACAAGTAGCAAGTTTATCAGTCAGGTCCTTCATTAAGTCAGAAGGTTTGGTCATCGAAAACAGTAATTTAAGATCACTGTTTCGATCATCATCATCATTTCTTTAAGCACGCATAATTCTCGATTACGGAGACGCAGCTTTACGTTCGTTCCTCGACAACGATCGGTTTTCCGACCTCGAAACTAAACTTATCCCCCCCTGGCCCCCAAAATCGAAAGCGATATGTGCACCGTTTCGCTCGTAACTCTCCTGAAAATGGTACCCCGTTACGCGTCCGGTTTCGGTATGCAACAAAGCTCATCGGCGCTCATAATTAGCCGAGTAGAAAGAGAAAGGGACGTAGGGAGGGGGAGATATGGGCGTCCATGCGAGAACGAGACTGCCACCGAGAGGAAACGAACGGGGTGGATAATAGAGAGAACAATCCATAATTGGCGTGCACTTATAGGGAGCACAATCAATTAAATGGGGTGCACGCGGGCTTGTGCGTTCTAACGACAGCACGGCTGATTATGACTTTCCGCTGTTTCTCACTCTCCTTCTCTATTTCTCTCTCTCGAGGGTTTTTTTTTCCTCTCCATCGTTTATCTTTCTCTTTTTTAAACCCCTTTGAACGGGAATTTCGTGGACACAGTGACCTAGTGCGAGGGTTGTTTAAAACCTTGGTTCGTTTCGGGATGTTCGAAATGTTTGTAAGGTGAAGGTTGCAATGTATATTCTTTAACCCGCTCACTGCATCTTTCTGGTAACTTGTGGATTTTTTTTTTAAAGCAAGAATAGTAATCATTTTAAGGTTACTTTACACTTTAAAAAAAAATATTTTTACTTGGAGTGATTTGAAACAACTTTTTCCTTAGCAAAAATGTTCTCTAAAGCTTTGTTAACGAGATATTTACGAAAAACCCCGAACCAATCGGAGCGCGAGTCTGTCGACCGAGCTCTGATTGGTTCGGGGTTTTTCGTTAATATCTCGTTAACAAAGTCTCGGAGGATATTTTTGTTAAGAAAAAAGTTGTTTCGAATCACCACAGGAATCCCTCATTTCCGGAAGTCAAAACTGTTAAGGGACACCCTGTATAATGTGTCTGCAATTTATATTATATTCTTAGTTACTATATTTTTTCTTACAATTCCTTTCCATTTTTCAATTAACACATTCAATACGAATGACGGCGGATCCTCCCTGACAAAAATTATATATTAACCAACTTTTTTAACGTACAACATTTGTTGTCAAGAACACAAATAAAATTTAAAAAGGAACAGAAAAATTGAATTTTTAAAATACAACGACGGAGCGTTAAAGGGATTGAATAAACGACATATTCGAAACGGCCTATTTGCGATCGTCGTTCCAACGTTCGTCTCAGCGAACGCAGGGACCTCGACGAAAGAAATCAGCGTGGCAACCACCGACGACGATATTGAAATTCGATGGGGCGAAGTTATCGCGACGCGTTTGATCGATTTCGACGCGAATTCGCGGACGACCAGAGGCTTTCTTTCCCCAGTGCTCCACAAAAACGCAATTTAACCCTTTCGATGTTTCTGTCAATAATACTCTAAACTACTATTTTTGTTTAATAACGAGTATACTCGTAAAAGAATTGCATTTCCTATTTAAAGGAAAATTTAGGCAAATCATAAAACATATTCGTAATTTTAACACAATTTAGAGTATTTTCGAACCAAAAGAGGCAAAACAGAAACAAAAAAAATTACTTTAAAAAAAGAAATATGCAGCAGTATATATTACACTATAATCTTTTCACTTTTAATAGTGAATATGCATATTATTGTTTCAGATCCTTTGTAACTGTTATACTTTCTTTTTATTTTAGTACTTAAAGTCTTTGTTTATTGCAAACCAGGTTTATGTACAGGTAATTTGTTTGTTACCTCCACAGGAATTACGTAACAGTAAATTTACTGACTAATAAATAAATAAATAAATAAATAAATATGTACGAGAGCTGTTTGATAAGGCAGTAACAGTTTCTTTGTCAATAGATGGTGCTCAAGTCCCAAGAGTAATTGTGTCATTTTATTAGAATTTATTTCAAGTTCACAGCATTTACTCTGTCGAGTATACTCGTAATAGCTTAAATATAATTAAGCACAAAAAACTGCAAGTTTTCAAAATGAAATAAAACACCTGAAAGGTTAACCAACTCGCGATTCGCGCCGCAAACTTCCCACAGAACAAGAGAGAAAAGTCTGCTTAAAAGTTTCAGGCCAATATTACCAACCCTGTTTCTCTCTCTGTCCACTTGGCTCGGCCGTTCGCGCGTTAATTCGAGGAAAATTCGCCATTAAAAAAAACCACGAATCGCGTTAAAAGTTCGATACCGTGGTGGGAAGAAATTTTAATCCACGAGACGCTGTGTTCCTTCACTTCGTGGTGGGTACACAATCCCGATATACCCTATTGGCGTTCGAATTTATAGCACCCGGAGTAAACGACTCGATATTACGAGCATTAATTCAACGAACGAGCCATTAATATTCGAAACGACTTTCTACAAGCCGACGAATAAGTTAACGAGCGGCAGCGCGCGCGAGCACGGTTTCGAAACCTGTCAAAATTACCTGTTGCTGGTCGACGAGCGAAGATACTCCCCGTGGCTTCATATTCTGCAAAGAAAAGAAAAGGCACGGTTAAAGATGGGATGATTTCCTGGAGACGTTTGACGCGCGCGAACAATTCATCTATTTTCCTCCAAATCCAATAAGATAAAGAGAAATTAATGGAAAAAGAAAATTCCTACATTTACTTTTCTTATTGTAAATTACAATAGAATTTAGTAATAAATCGACAGCGGATTTTTTGCACTTATAGCCTACAGGTCTCTATGAAATACAACAGAAGTCACAACTTTCATCAGATGGCACAATTTATCTATTTTGAATATACATATATAATATATGATTTTGAATATCACATAGAAAATATGATTTTGCATAAAAATCCGCAGTCTAGTAATAAACAATAATATTGGCGTAATCAAATTTCCACATCACCAGTTAACAGGTGAGCACGAAAAAGCGCAGCGCATTTAACAAAGGTTTCGAATTTCTCTGTTTCCAGGTCGTACCCGTCGCCCGTGCAAAACGGAGGTCCAAACGGCACTACGATGAGCTGCTCCGGTTCCCAAGGTAAGCCCAAACCTCGAAGCCCAGCGATTGGTTACGCAAAGAGCCCAGAGAGAGAGGCTCTCTCCGCCCGGCGATTCGATGTCGATCCGAGCACGGAAATCGTATATTTTTCCTGGGGGCTGTTGGAATGGAATTTCGCAATAAATGGTGGGAGCCACCCGCGCTGATTAATTAGCTCGCGGAAAAATTCGACGAAACGTTCTACCTATTAAATTAGCGTTGCATTAAATTTATTAGCGGCATCCTCTTTAAAAGATCGGTCGTCCATCGAACTGCCGCCGCCCCCCCCCCCTCTTCAGCTCTCCACCTGTCCCCTGTGTATACGCGTATAGTGGGCCGAATAATATCGAACTATCAAACGTTTGACGATGTGCACGTATGAAAATACCCGACTACGAGATATTCCAGAGGAAAAGTTTCGGCGGGTACGGGATGAAAAAAACTGCCCCTCCCTGCCCCCTTATCACTGACAATTCAATATCGCACGATTACGCGGACAAAGGTATAACGAATCAAATATCATTTTAATTTTCTATATTGTACCCTGCAAATGCGAACACGGACGCTGCGGTCCTCTCCGGCCCCGCCCCCCTCCTCTTTACTCCGCCTCCTACTCCGCCTCCGCTGCCCCGAACCGGACACGCTCGTGACTTATGCGTTTGGCATCGCGCAAAAATCTGCCCGCTTATCCGGACAACCGCGTTCATTTTCAGATTCAGCCGCGGCCGGCTGCTGCTGTCCGCTGTTTTTCGATGGAATTTCATTGCGGAAGGGTCGCTGCCCCTCACCCCTCCTCCCCTTCCGCCCCTCCCGGAAGATAAACGGAAATTCGACGAACGGCGCGATTAAATTCACCGGCCTCCGTGAATTTCTTTCTCTGCGACCGCTCGAAGCGATACGCCCCGGACGTTAATTGCAGCGTTTACCGGCGAGCACGGCTTCTTTTCTTGCCCAGGGGCGTAGAAAAAGGCGGGAAATAAGCTTTTTTGGGCGTGTTTCGCGCGGTTATGAAGTTTCTTTTGGTGGATGGCGGACACTTATGGAAACAGAATCGTTCCGCTGTTGGCGAAGCCGACTGGACTGCGCGGATTTTATGCATTTATAGCGTGCAGAACTATGTGAAATATAGCAATGGTTAAAAATTCGATAGTTTGATAAATTTTTTAGTTTATTTTCATCCCAATAGAATCCCTGAGAAAACAAAGAACTATGTAGTTTTACTTCTACTTTTTGTAAATTACTTCATATAATGATATTTTGCATAAAAATCCGCAGTCTAGTGATAACGTTGGGAATATTTAGCGCGTCGTTGAAAATGATAAACGTAGGTTAAAGTATTTGTGAATAATTGGGGCTTCGTAGGTGGTGCTTAGGGTTAATTATTGTTAAAGCTCGGAAGACGGACGGTTTTGATGGTAATAGTGAAACAAAGGAGCATGCTCTTTCGATCCTTGTGCATCACTTTTTTAAAATGCACTTTGGAATCCTTTTAGTGGGGTGGCTGTCTTTTTACTTGGATATAAGGAACTGCTGATTCAACCTTTAGAGGACAGGCAGGTTTTTTCGTGACTTCTTTTTATTTTAAAGTTAGAACTTTTATACAGGGTGCCCCACCTAACTCTGCCACCGTCAATTATTCTCTTACTTATCACGGTACAAAAAAAAAATGGTTCGGCAGAAAGTGAGTGTATTTTAGGGGGGGAATTAGGCTATGAGATTGAAGGTCATCTCAAGGCCATATCTTTTGAGATTTCTCTAATGGTAACGTTTTTTGTTTTTTTTTAATGGAATACCTTATTTTTTTGTCTGTTATTACAAAGAGGAGATCAAAACCTTAGGCTGAAAATTTCTTGTGAAGAAAATGAATTGTAGAAACAAAATAAACGCCATAATCGCATTATTTATTATTTTAGTCTATGTTCAAAGTGTTGTCACCCCATATCTTTGGGGTCCTGTCTTTGACGAACGAAACGGAGAAATAACCGGATAAACGTTAATGGCAAATTTCCGGAACGATACCTGGCGAAACGGAAACGGAATAAGGGACACGGTGGAAAAGTAATCGGCGAGCTGGCGGTGTAGACGAGCGAACAAAAAAAAGAAGAAAGAACGGGGTAGCGGAGCTACGGATTGTCAGGCGCGATTTTCCGACAACGCGTGCAAGAAACTTTTATTCAAAACCCGGCTGGAATATGCGCTGGGCGGTTCGCACTTGCGAAAAAGTTGACTCACGCCGTAAAAATATACCGGGAGCGATAAGCTCGCGGAAAAATAACGCGTCGCTTTCCAAGTCGCATTCGATATTAAAAATATTATGTTTCCCCGCGTATACCTGCACGGAACAGGTAGAAACGGGATCGTCCAAAGGGCACAAAAATGCCAAAGAACAATCGTATACGGGGGAATTGAGGACCTTGCAGCCAAAGGGGTGCGCAACTCAATTTTTAACAACTGCAAGTAAATTAGAAAAACCCGTTTATACAATTAAAGTCGATGTCCCTCACTAAGGTCAATCACTAATTAATCTGCTAATTACAGCTTTGTGTAATACGAAAGAGAAAAAACTATCGTACATAGTGTATCTTGTTATTTCCGAAGTCGAAAATATCGATATTAAACAGATCCATATTTCCTTTTTTCTTTCTTTATTTATTTTTTAAGGGAATACTTGAATTTCATTGTCACCTTGCTATCTAAATAAATAAAAAAATAGGATAACGAAATCAAATTGTATCCATCCGTTGCGTCCCTTAAAATGCTATATAATTCACTAAAAAGATTTTTGACACAATCAATACATAACGAGTTATTTCAGACAATAAATCTTATTTACCATCCCTCCATAATATTCATTTACTAGTGCATCCACCCTATGTACCTAGAACAAAGATGGGCAAACTCATTATCTCGATAAAAATGTTCGAATAACGAATAGAAGATAAAAAAAAGTATTTCGTCACATTTAATTGTTTAAGCGTAGAAATTTCACTTTTTATTTGTCGAACAATTATTTAATCTCATTAACTGTTTAAAGCTCAAAACGACACCCTTAGATACTGCTGCTTTTCACTCTGTACTATTCGAATCAAATTCTGCCCAACTCTGACCTAGAGCAGCGCGAGACTTGCCAAAGAAAAATAAAAAAAAAAAACTTTGGCGCTGAGTTTAGTGGTTCCGCGAAAATCGGTTTGTAGATCGTTAAGAGCTCGATAATGCCCGGAGGAGGATTGAAAGGACACACGGCGATGCCGTTTTTTTCTGCGCAGGGGTGATGGTGAAGCAGGAAGCGAGGGATGACGGTTACGAGACAAGTCCGGATCTCGAGATGAGGAGCACCGGCGGTGACAGCAGTCAGCAGTACCACACGCCGCTGACACCGCACACACCGCACACACCGCACACGCCGCACACGCCCCTCACGCCGATATCGGCGACAGCGCATCAACCCCAGCAGCCCGGCTCGACCGCTTCCACCCTCGGACAGGTGAGTTTTTCCTATTTCCGACTCGAGGATACTGACTATTAAGGTCACCTGGCTAACAAGGGAAGTTCGGTACATGTAACGGAGACCGTGGTAGATTGTAAAAAAAAATGTTTTAATAATTTTGTCTCGAGAGTGTTTTCTATAATCAGGAAATAGATTGCGTGATTTACTGCTGGTATATTTGGTCAACTCGTTGAGTGTAAATATGTGGAAAAATCTTTGACACTTACAAGGGATGTTTGGTAACCCGCAAAATTCTGGTTTTTTTTTGTTAAACTTTGCAGGTTTGTAGGGGACCTCAAGAGAAGTATAGCGCAATTTTTGTTTTCGGCCCAATTTCAGTTCTTTTTTAATTGATAATTAATGAAAGTGGGGGACGGGTGTTTTTATTTAAACAAAGAATTTTTATCAATTTAATTGCATAGTTTTATAGAGAATAAAAAACCATTGAATTTTTATTCTAATCGTTTTTTTTTATATCTATGATAGTTTTAAAGATATACCGGGGTATATGGAAACACTTATTTACCTTCAAGGGATGTTTTCACTCTGAAGAACTGAAGTTAGGCGAAAAACTAAAATTGCGCTATACTTCTCTTGAAGTCCCCTACAAATATGAACAGAAATAAATATTTCCGAAAAATATTAATGAAAATGCATATCATTATTAAACATTTGATATACAATGATTAAACAATCATTGGTTATTTGTGACAGATGCAAGAAATATCTTCTTCAGAAGTAAAACCTTGTTGTATGTTCTCATCCTAAAATTAACTAATATTCCAGCAAATAGCAGGTTTGCTTTATCACCATTTAGAGCGGGGTAAGTAGTAATGTGTTACATTTTGCCCCAAGCAATTTGTTACAATTTACCCCGAGCTTGAATTTTTGCGTTTTGCCTCAGCAAACTAGGAACTAAACATCAAATTAATTGAAATAAAAGTGCTAGGGCAATATTTACTTACATGCTTCAAATACTAAAAATCTAACCTGTAACTACAAAACAGACACTTGATCGATTGTTGTAATGAAACCGACGATATCAATATTTTCAAACCATTCTGGCATCCTAGTGTGTTGCCAAATTTGTTGTTCCGATAATTTTAATTGTGTTACAACCTGCCCCGGTCTCTCCTACCCCAAAAAATTTCGATTTTCTTCTTTTTTTTTAACCTGTGGTAGACACCACTTGGTTCTAGGACCCGCTGTAGGCACACCCTGTTGCGAATTGGGATTTTCAAAATTTGATGCAACTTTTCGAAATAAATAGTAAATAGTTAAATAAAACCTATGTTTTTGATAGAGAATTTCTCTCGGAATCGTTTAGTGATAACCACAGTTCATGGAAATTTTTATGGGTTTCATGAATGTTAATTAAAAACAGGCACGATTTCAAAAATTTCTATTTTTCTTATTTTTTTTTTAATCCGTAATTTGGTCCAACTTTGAAAGAGTTGTTCTGTTTTAAAGGGTGCACGAATACTTTTATGACCCACAGTCGAATCGAAATTTCGTCGTAATGACGATCGAAAAAAAGCGTTCCGTCTCCGGATGACGCGTGCGCGCGCGCACGATCGAGTGAGTCAACGGTTGGTGGAGAAAAAAAAGGTCATCGAGGATAAAACGTGCGAAAGGTTGCGGCTCACGTTGCTGAATTAATCGAGTCACGTAACCAAGAGCCGACCGTCTGTAATCGGCTACTCGCCGAAGGAAAAAAAACATCTTGGGGAAAATAAAACTCGGAAATCACCGGCCCCCGCGGCTGGAGACAATGTATGGATCGGCCCAACGTTAACGGCTGGATCCGGTGGATTCTCGCGATCGGCGGGATGACTGAGCGCGATAAAAGCGCGCATAACCTTCGCTACGATTTACACAGGGTGTCCCACCTAAGACCGAAACACCCGAATATCTTCTTTAGAGTAAAGTAACCGAATATCAGACCTATTTTTTTAAGCACGCATAATTCTCGATTAAAAATACTTTTACTGAAATATGCACGTTTTAAATGTAGGATGTGAACACTTTTACGACATACTAGAAATTATAACAAAACAGATAGAGTTACATCATAATAAAATAGAAATGTAAAGTATACAAACTATACGATAGGTCGCCATATTGAATCTTCAGGTTCATAATACGAGTTATACGTATATGCTAAGGATGTTATTGATTCCAGAATGGAATTCTACGGTTGAACAGGGTTAAGGTGCATGGAAATATTTCTATCTTATGACCTTGGGGTGAACTTGAACGTTACAAGAATAATGAAATTCTGAAGCAATGTTACGATGGTATGTGGAACTTACTTTTGATGTTACAAATGCTCAAAATGACGTCTATCGGCCATAGTAAAAAGGCTGTACGTAGCCAGGCACGCTTCATTTTGTTTTTAAAGTCATAAATTGTTGAAAATGTATGCGTTTTGTTAATAGAGACTGCTGCAATATTAAATATTACGCAAAACTTTTATACCATTGGAAAGGGAAGGGGGGAGAGTAAAATCTAATTTTGTTCTTATAGGGTGGAACAAAAGCCACTTTTTTTCCATCCAAGGGGGCAGGGGCAAGTCCTAGTCGAAAATTCAAACCGTCGCGACGAAGAAAAAACGTCGAAACTTGTCCCCTAGAACGTGTGTAATAGCTCGCGAACGTTTCCCCAATGTGGGAACCGGTGTTACAAGTAATCGTCAGACGGTAAAAATGTACACTTTTAAGCAACTCGCGTCTGCCTTTCCTGCGCGACGTTCCTACGAATCGTGATCCGTCACCGCAACGAGGAATCGATGTACAGAGGGAATACGTTTCCGTCCCCTAACACGTGGGACACGTCCCGGATTTATCGACGCTGCTCGAGATCGAGTCCGCCTTCTTTTGGTCGCGCGGTACGCAGCATCGTTTCACCCTGGGGTATTTTCTTCGTTTTGTGTCGATTCGATGTCGTTTTCGGATTCGTCGCACGGACCGAAGCTCTACGATCGCTGCCAGGAACGACGTTGACGTCAATGGAAATTGTTCGTTCGATTAGCAACAATATTAACACTCGTGGACGTTTGTTCACGGACAAACAATGCTTGTTGGGCAGGTATCACTGATCTGTATACAGAGGTGTCGCGATTATTGTCCCAAACTCGGATCCGCGCCGGACAATAAACGCTTCTGTTTTAAAAAGTTTTATCGTTACATTAGTAATGTCTCAGCGACACCCGGGAATATAACCTTTTTACCTTTCCTTACACCTGGACAGTAATCGTGGATCAACAATCGGTCAATAATCGCGACGTTCCTGTAGCTTCTTTTTTCAATAGACGTCTCACTGCTGTGACTACCATAATTTTATAGGTTATGGATGTCATCTATGCTTCCGTTCTTTCTCAACCCCCTCAAATCAGCTCGCTGCTGATATCGAAATTTTGTAAGAAAAAGATCTGCTATAACTAGGATGATTCTGATTTTTCCAAGTTTCTGTAGCCCCCGTTCTGTACGACCGACTTTCTCTCTCTCTCTTCCTCGCGATCGAACGAGAGCGCAGTCGTATGCTCTCAGATAACCCTAGATCGAGGCTACGAAGCTGACAGATAATCTGCGGCGGCGTCTGCCCAGACTTCGATAGAGAATTATTTCTTTCTTTGGACTCCCTTCCCAGGCTCTTCCATCGGCCGATTCCGCTGGAGCCACCGGCGAAAATCCCCGAGACAGTTGGCTCACTGTGCTTCATAATGATTGATTTTTTTTTTTTTTTCAAATCGGTCTACAGGTCGTAATTTTTCCATATACTTGACGGTTTTTATTTTTAACCCGCGCTTCTTCGTGCGTAAACAGTAACGTGGTGTTGCATGTGACACAAATCCAAATATCATAACCAATAATGAACACGGAGTTGCAATTCACTACGTTTTTGCTTGTATTAAATTTTGGTGGTGTCACCAGCGACATATTAAATTTTTAATAATTCATTTCTTTGTTGTTTGGAGTTCGACTTTCAATTTTTGCGAGCACATTTTTTACACGTTCCACAATTGATTTATTGTAAAAAGAAATTTTTGTTTCTTTGGACCTGTTACACGAGAATCCCCCCTTAAATATCGCTATCTGTAATTGTGAATTTGCATAAATTTCCGCAATCTGGTTATAACGTACCACTGCGCGACGTCCGATTAAAAATTCGATTTTTCTCGTGTGAAAGAAATTCATCGAGGCGCGATGTCGAGCTGTTAAACGACGTCAAGAACACGACGATTTGTTGTTCCAGGAGGAAAGCTCCGTGGTCGTGGCGGAAATTGGGAAATGTGGGCAAAGGTGACGCGCGCGCGTGCATGTCGTATTTTCAATGCAAGCGGCAATCGCTATTGCCCCGACAATTTTCAGGCCGTATACTGACGGGAATATACATTTTACGATTGCCGGTCTACGTGTTCATGATGGCACGTGCGCCGCTACGTGCCCCACCAAATTTTATTTTTCAAACGGACAGGCGCGTAAAAAAAAAAGTACACTAGGAATTCGTAATGAATTCCGTAGCAGCCGCCAGGGGGTGGGGGATTGATTCAGGGACAGGGACGTCGCGGTTGTTCGTTTGCGACGAAAAATCTCTCGACGTGCTGGTGTTAACCACTTAGCTGTGAATGACGAGTATACTCGTCATGCAGAAGTAGCAATTTTTAATGTAACGACGAGTATAGTCGTCGTATAGAAGTGGCAATTCTGTATGTAATGACGAGTATACTCGTCATGCGAGAAAAGTAAAACTTTTGTGAAAATTAAAACATATTTGTAATTTTATTTTATTCATTTTATATCTCTGCTGAGCTGGCAAAAGAGTAAAGGCCAGAATTATTAATTTTGTACAGAAGCACAATAATGGTAAATATATAAGTGTTTCTCTACAAAACTAATAATTCTATCTTATACTCTCTTATGCCCGTCCACCAGATATATCCTGCAATATGCATGAAATTAAGTATATTATACCGGTATTTTCGATTGTACCTTCGCCCTATATAACCCTATATAAGCCCTACCCTTATAGAAACCGAAAAAATTCCGGTATTTATTTCGGTTTTCGGTAATATATCGGTGTAGCTTTGATGGCATAATACCGGAATCAAAATCATACCGGTTCAAGTCCCTGTTTTAACACCGAATATTTCGTATCGAATGGAGACTAAAGACAAATGTTCGAAACGATATTCACAGGTGGCGATCAAGTGCGAGACCCCGGTGGACCCGTACTCGTTCGTCGACGAGGACATGTCGATGGGCGGCATGAGGACGGCCAGCAGCCCGGCAGGCAATCCAGAGAACATGACGTGTCCTTCTGGGGCGCAACCGGGCCTCTCTACACCCACGTCGACCCCGCCCGGCCCGATGTCCGGACCGCAACATCTTCAGATGAACCTCGGCGTGATGAACGGCAACGTGAATCCCCAAATGGCGGCGCATCAGCCGAAGAAGCGAGGCCGCAAGAGAAAATCCGAAATGATACTCACGCCGGAAGAGTAAGAATTTTATGCGAAAGCGTTTGTCTATTTTTTTATTTATTTTTTTACACCTGGGATAAATGTCACGATTACTGCTACCTTTGCTAACTAGAGGGTTTTTGTGTTTGTAAATTTACAACTTCAGGTGTTCTAAAAATATTTACAAACTGTTACTTTTACTTATCTAACTTTATACAGGGTGTTAATTTTCTGTTTATATTAACATTAAATTTACCACGATCTGTCTATATGACCGTGAAAGTTCTAATTCCTACCTTTTTCAAGGGTTCGCTAGATTTAGTTAAAAAATATTTCAGACAGAAGTTGAATGGTATCGTGGGGTACACTTTCTCATGTGAATAACTTTTTCGCGTGTGGACGCGTTGAGATAATATAGACATCAACTTCGTTTTTTCTTTTAATGAAATCCGAGTAGCATTGAATAACGCGTTAAAAAATATACGATTCCCTTTGAAGAAACAAAGTTAACCTTCACATGACCCCACGAGTTAATACTACCCCCTCAAGGGGTTAATACGCGAAATCTAATAGGTACAGTTCGTGCTCCACGATGGCAACTATTCGGTACCTTATCTTAAACGAGACCTGAAGAGCGTTTCGTCTGGCCGAAAGGGTTAAAATCCGCAATCATCCGGCCCGTACAAGATCGTTTAGGACGAAGCGTAAAGGCCGAAGGAGAGGGTCGAGAGCCCAAGTCGAAGGATCGTTCAGCCGGGATCCTCCGAAGAATTTAAATTCGCCTTAATTGCGAGGGCCCTGCAGTTCGCGATATCGTACGCATTATGCAAACTATCCGACAAAGTCAACTTTACATTCGAAAGGAGGGTTAAAATGTCCGCGGGGGGTGGGAACGGGAAACCCTCGAAGGATCGTTATTGTTATCAAAAAAATCCCGCGGTTGCTCGAACGCTGAAGGAAAGGGGGCTCGCGAAAGCACTAAATTCGATAATCCTGTTAACGAGCGCGAACTGACCGGAATCGGTTGCATATTTACGGGAGATAATTTTGGAGGGGGGGGGGGGGGGGGGGACACGCGCGACGAGTGTTTCGCGGTCGGCGGTCGCAGTTCATTCTAAATAATAATGCAGCACGGCGAGGTCGATAGACACGGGTCGATCCGACTAGACTCGATTATAGCCGTGGCCCCCAATAGTTCTAGTTTACGTGCGTCAAGACAGGATTCAAGGTAACTCTAGGTTCGCTGGTTGGTGATGGGGGTGCAATTGGTCAAGAAAAAACAACCACTCAGAGTTGGTTACACACAGTTCGAGAAAAAAAAAAGTCATTCAGAGTTATTTATTCATTATAGACTTATTTATTACTTATTTTATTTATTTCAGATGAGTAGATCTCAAGATTTTAAACAAAGTAACGTAAAGAAAATTTCGTTCATATCTTAAAATGTATATGATTGTTTACTCTGTGTATTATAGTTTCCATCTACAAACATCCTGATAAACCCGCTTTTTACGGCGTTTACACCAGAATGTACCCTCGAGACGCCAGAATTGAACGGTTTTCTTTTTGGATTAGATCAAAGAGCGACTACTGACACAAATGCTTTTGCGCGTTTTACAATTTTATACTGTGAATACAATGCGTATTTTAATACCATAAAACCTCCAGAATATTAAAAATTACGTGACGTACAGAGCGCCAACGTGGTGAAAACGATTCCAGTTGAGTGACTCGTCTAAAAGCACAATCGTTGTAAATGAATATTCTCCGACTAAAAGTCTGCAGTGGAACTTTGTTGAAAAATTGTAATAAAAATTCAATGTTATAATTACAAAAATCAGCTCTGTTAATTTTCAGTCAGAAAATACTCATTCTATAACGATTTTGCTTTCAGATGAATCATTTAGCCGGAATTGTGTTCATTGCGAGAACGCGCAGTGCCCACTTTGACGCTTTGTATTTCCCCTCAATTTTATTATTTTGCAGATTTTTCGATTTTAAAATACGCGTTATATCCACAGTTAATGAACTGTGAAACATACAAATAAATTTCAGTTACTAGTTGTTCTTCGATCCAACACAATACAGTTTCTGCACTCCAAATTCAATTTCTTTTGTGAATCAAATTCACCCTTTTGCAGACAAAATTCACCCGTTTGCGAATCACATCGAATCTTTTGCATATGAAATTCATCCTTTTACACTTGAAATTCAACCTTGTGCAAATCAAATTCATTTTTTAAAAGGTTTGTTCATTACTTTTTATTTCGGTATTTGCAAAAGGTTGTATTTGATTTGCAAAAGAGTAAATTTAATTTGCAAAAGGATGAATTTTATCTGCAAACAATCGATTTTGATTTGCAGAAGGGTGAATTTCACCCACAGAAGGGTGAATTTGATTTGCAAAAACTTGAACTTGGACTGCAAAAATTGTGGAAACCGCTCATTACACCTGTTTAATAGGCACTGAGAATGTTAGCCGAAACAATTATTTTTTACTACGATTGAGAAGGAACATATCGTCGAGCATTCCTTCATTTTTCCACTGATCGAACAGACACGATATCGCTTCGAAAATTGATCGAACAAACGAACGAACACTTCTGTAATCGGCCCTCTGTTTGAACGAACATTTTAACACAGTGGTACAGAACGCCGATTTAGGAGTACCGAAGCTTAATTTGGATATAAAAATGGGAATTTTGGAACCAGTTAGTAAGCATACATTTAATGTTCATATTTATTCAAAACAAACAAAATTACATAATAAGTAATGTTTTTCAATAATAATTTTTTTATAAACAAAATAAAAACTTCTTTTCTTTACGGAGTTATCATTATCAATCACAAGCTCTCTTTAAAAAAATTATTATTAAAAAACATTACTTACTAATTTTATAATTTTTTTTAATTAAATATAAACATTCAATACATGCTTGCCAAGTTTGCTTTCGAAATTGCCATTTTTACACCCAAATTAAGCTTCTGAACTCCTAAATAGTCGTTCTGTATCATTGTGCAGCGCGTGTTTTAAATTGACAAATAATAAAACAGATATTATTTCGAATATTCGTCCCGTGAAACGCGGATCCCTTGCCCCCCCCCCCGCGGATTCGCGTAATTTAGCTGCAGTCAATTGGACCCGATACTCGATTATTACAAGCCAAATTACGCGCGCAGTGGAAAACAAAAACGCCCGATATTTTTTTTTCCCCCTCGGTATGGAAAAGCTGTTCGCGCAGTTTTCTCCCATTTCACGACCCATCAGGTGTGCAGCATCTCGATTCGCCGTGTACCCGTTATTGAAACTGGTCCAAAACCGTGGTCTATACACCGAATCAAATTCCGTATAACGCGGTTAAAGCGGCGCTCTCTACCAGCCCGCGAAGGTTACTTAACGATTTATAGCCGGCCAGAAAGTCCGGAGGACTCTCTTTTGTAACGTAACTAGATTCGATGACGGCGGAGATTTTCAGTGGAGATTTTGAGCTCGTTAACCCTTGGAGTACGGTTCCCGGGTCAATTTGGATCCGAGTGTTTAAAAGCCGTATCTAACTTATGGATTTTTAAATACAGGACGAGTCAATAAGAACTACCATCCAAAATAACTTGTTAACTATTAAAAAATATTTTAATGAATTATGTAGCATTTTTATCTTATCTTTCTTTAGATGTCAAGGCGACCTTAAATATTTTCAAGGTCAATGCTTCTTTTTTTTAATACCACGTTGTTGCCAATAGAAGTACAAAAAGATATATTGATCTTGAAAAACCTCCAGGTCACGTTGATATATAAAAAAAAAATCACATTGTGTACATCCGATGGGTCCCTTAAAATTCTACATAATTCATTAAAACGTTTTCTTTCACAATTATTTTAGATATTAATTCTTATTGATTCACCCTGTATAATTTCAGTTAGTAACTGTTCATATTTAATCATATAAGGAAGCAGGTGTTTTTTAATTATCGCGTTCGAAGGTATATTAATAGAAAGGTTTCAAACGGACCCAGACACCACTCTCTTCTACGAACATTAAAAATGTCCGTAATTCGAGGGTTAACCGTTTAAAATTCAACGCAAAATCTCTAATTCCCACGTATAAACTCCTGGTAATTTGATTCCCAGGGCGGAGTTGGCGGAGGCGAAGAAACGAGCAAAGACGTACAAAGAGAGGAAGAAGCACGACAGATTCGACGGTATGCCAGAGGAAGAAGTCAGCAAACGAGTTCTTCCGGACCACCTGACAAACAACCTCGACATTATCATAGTAAGTCATACTACACGATTATTATATTTCGACGGTTCTGTGTCCAGGGCAGGTTCCCGTGGATCCACCACACGTCAGTTTCATCTGACAACAGAATAATTTCAACGGAATAATAATAAATATAAATCACCTACGAATTTAACATAAAATAATTCATGTGAGAAAAAAAATTTCAATCCTCTGTAAAATCAACAATTTTTCCAAATTTTCAAAAATCCTTCGAAATGCGTTCATATATCGCTAAAGACTACAACATACCTAAATTTGAAGAAAATCCGAAATAGTGCTCCAAAAAGTGCCAGATTTCGGATGAAATGACCCCCCCTGTGAGTTTATTCTCAGTCGACTATCGTAAATTTTCTCATCGAGGGGACGCCTCGCACGATTCCGTCGTTTTTCGCGAGAGGGAGGGTAGGAGGAGGAGAACGATTAATCCGATTAGCCGTTGGCATAACGGGCGTCTGGTTAGCAGGAAAATCCATCTCGAAGGTAGCGAGACGGTAGGAACGTAACTACGACAAATGGCCGTTTGTAGCGCGTTCGTCAGGTGTCGTAATCGCTTTAATGGTCCATACCCAATTCGGTTATCACGCTTGACGTTGGTAACGAGCGCGAACCGCCTCGCGTTCGCCGTTTCCTGCCGCGGCGTCGCGCGTCATCGTGCCGTTTCATCGAACGCACATCGAACACAGATGATCGAGAGACCGTTCCGTATTCCCCGTCGATTCGTTACGATTTCCACTTCCCCCCTCTGGGATTCCTGGTTTGTAATTTCGCGAAACTCTTCGCGGTTTCATAAGCTTATCGCGATTTTTCCTTGTTCGGCCATGAAAACGCAAACGCGCCGGGAGGGATCGATTGATCGATCGCCTTCGAATCGGGTAATTGTTTTGCGTGGAGAACGTACGTAATCGAGAGGATACGTTGATAACGTTGTTACGTGGCGGAAGTCCACAACACGAAGGACGAGAAAAAGAATAATAGCTAATACGCGATTCTATTTCAGTTCTTGCGTATTTATCGTTCATGTGTCGGTGGTACATCCTTCAGTCGAAAGCTGCAGTGTTACGTTTATTGTGAAATTCTAAATGAAATTAACGAGTTTTGAAGTAAAAGAATGTGGGAACTGTAAGAGATCAAAATTCTAATCTTTAACCTTTTGCACCATTCCGTTTCCAGCTAGTCCTATGTCGAGTCCAACTCGATCGAATTTTTACCAGTTTGTTATCGATGTTCGTGATTCCATGAATATTTTTCGTAATTTATGTGTTATGACTAGACTGATATGTAGAAATTAAAATGTAGTAAAATTGTGGATTCTAAGTGGAGTAAAATCTGGATGAAATCAAGCTAAAAGTTCCACTTACTTAATCATCTAGCACATCAAATTGTTCCATCCTTTTTTACTAACCTCTTAGGCTAGTTGAGCCTAACTAATCACACACGTTGACAGTGGATATCCAACACGACAAATTCCTCAGTAACAACGTCTAAGATCATGAAGCAGCTTCAAAATTGAAGTGGTGAATTTTTGAAAATTATATCTTCATTAGTTCTAGGTAACAGACCGGTCAGAGAAAAATGATTCCGCGATGAACCGTGGACTCTAATAGGTGCACAGGATTACGATTCGGTGACGGGAGAGTCCGTTAACGGGTGGTTCATATTCATATATTACGGGCGCGGAACGAGTAGTCAGCGTGGTCGATCATCCGTCAAACGGTGTAAACGCTTTAACGGGCCTTGGGCAATTCGGTTATTACTGGCGTCGTTGTAATCGAACGCAGCGGGACACCAGTGTCGGCCGTCGTTCGTCGAGGCCCTCTCTACCCCTGCACATCCCCGATTTCGAACCCCTCCGGGCCTCCTCCGCGTCCCTCTGTCATCCGACTGGCCAACCACCCCCCCCCCACTACTCCAAACCCATCCCCCTTCACGGCCCCCTAACCCAGACCCCGGTGGATCGGTCGCCCGGCTCGAGTTTCATCGACGAGCACGGCGTTGTTTTCAATCGGCGACAATTCCACACCCTACCCACCCAGCCTCGTTTTCCAAACCCTCCCACCCCTCTCTCTCTCTCTCTCTCTCTCCACCCACCCCTCCAACCCTATCATTTTATCCTCGTTTATCCAGGTCCTAGCGCAATTCGACGCCGACCAACCGGCTAACGCATTGGCGTTAACGCGCTAATGCGATACGTACTTTATGTACGGAGGGAGAGGACTCAACCACCCGTACGCGACAAACGATATAACGCGATTTGGACCAAAGAACCGCGACCCCTCGTCATTGGCGTAACTAGATGGGGGCCAGGGTGGGCCTGGCCCACCCCCAGAATACGGACTGCCCCCCCCCCCCCCGTCCAGAAGTTATGGAAATATATTTAAAAAAAAAAAAACATTCGTCAGTTGGTAAAATCTTATGTTATAAAAAATAATCTAACTAAGTTCAAAAAATACAATACAATCCTCATTACGTTAGTTTTAAGTAATATTGTATTAGAATCAAGCTATTTAATTTTTACGTTCTACTTAACTAATAATTCTGCAAGATCAATTGAAGGGTCGGATGCAATTAAGGGAACTAGGGCTCGAGAATGTGACAAATGTTTTTGCAGAAAAAAAAACACAGCAAATTGAAGCTTATATTAGGGGTGCCCATAAGTAATCAATTATTTTCCCAAGACCTTATTTCTCATTAGTTCTGTGACAACCGGACAAGTGTAAGCACAAATTTTTTTTAGTGTTATTCTTCAACCAGTTTGTTAGTAATTTATTCCTAACAATATAAGTTTCTTTTATAGCCCTGCAACAAAATGGCGGACTTTGTACCTTCTAAGGAAAATTTGTGATACATATGAAGATGTGTTGAAAATGAACAAATGCCAACGTTGGTTCAGAAGATCTCTTTTTTTATTTTGAGTCACGTCCGCCAGCCTCTTCCTCAAAAAATTGTTGCAAATTGCAAAAAAGAGAAATCAGATTTTCTGAAACCGTCACACTAGCATAGCCCCTGAAACCTTGTTCCTCTGTCATTATCACTGTACTAATCACTATTACAAATTAATTGAAAACTGACCCAAAACCTACAAACTCTCCCTTACGTTCGCCATCTTGGAAACGAGAAACAGATCGAAAAGTTGCAACGACAGCGACATTAGCCGAGGACTTGCACGCCTAACAGCGTGTCCCTGTCCCGTATCCTTGGACTTTGTCGTTATTAATTGTCCACAACCGACGCGACGCGACGGAGCGAAGCGCGAAGATAATGTGGTTGCGCAACAGGTACTACCACACCTGTGTCTATCCGCGTTGCATAATCGCGGGTAAGAACCGTGTGCACGTGAAATCTTTTATGCGTGGTATACCCGTCTATTCGTGCCGAGGAAAGGAATTCACCGTAAGAAACTGCAAAAAACCGACGCGCGCGCTCGCGATGCCCCCTTTCCCCCATCCGCCGCCCCTTTCTCGCATTCTTCGATTCGTTCCGGAGAGCCTAGGTGCCGCGGAATGCCCTGTGCACTAGCAACGATGGTGAAAAAAAAAAATGTAACCGTTTAGGAATGGAAGGTTTTCTTCGGATGATTTAAGGTGGCTGTCGCAAATTTGTAATAATTATAAACTTAAGTAAAAATTTAACTGTACGCATGTCTGCTATGAGCGTCAATATGTTCCTTTGGTTTGTTCGACGAACTTTCCAATTAAACAAAAATTTAAGTTCTTTTACAGTGAGGAATGAAAATTTTTTTGCTTTCAATTATTACGAGTCTCCCATTTCCTCCGACATTTTCGTTACACCCTATATAGAGCAAGGGGTTAAAATTTTACCGTAACTTCACGAAGGTTTCGTTGACAAGATAAACATTTCGATCACTTTCCTGTAATACGTCGGTACTGAACAAAGTAACAAATTACAGATTCGAAACGAGTCTCTCGTTGCGACAAAAGCGCGAAACTCCACGGCCGGAGGGTCGCGGAGATCGAACCCGTCGAATGATCGTCGACGAACAAAGCCGCCAAGACAATAATCCTATCGTCGGGCACGGAAACTAGTTGGAAATAAGCCTGCCGCGTAATAATTTCTAGAAGATTGAAGCCGCCCCCGAACCCGTTCCTTTAGCAGGAAGGGGATATAAATCGATGGAACGCCGATGAAACGAAATTAACCGGCGCGCGTTGCCATTATTTCCGTATCATCGCGGCCACGGCTCGCGTACATGCACGAGGATCAAAAGTTTGCCCGCGTAACCGCCCGTATGCGGTCGGAAGACGACGTGCACACAGAAGGATAATTAGATTTGTCTTTGTCGCAGATTGGAATCAACCCCGGACTGTTCGCAGCTTACAAGGGCCACCACTACGCCGGACCAGGAAACCACTTCTGTGAGTTGAACTTTTTATTCGTTGTTCTCTGACATGTGTCCCGAATCCAATGGAATTCAACGATTATTCGAGATAGATCCCAATTAACCCCGTCGATAGTTTGAGTGCTTGTGGTCGCTCGTCTTGCACCGACCTACAGATTCTTTTTGTTCCTGTTGCAATAAATTCTCGATGAGTGTTCGAAGGATACTTGGCACGGGACATTAAATATTTAACTAATTAATAAACTAATTGCCATGTGCGGTCAAAACTATTGAGACTATTCGAGGAATAGGCGAATGAGGAACTCAATGCTATTGCATGAACTTTTTTTTTAACCCTCATCCGTCCCTCGGTGTCAAATTTACCCAGTGGTAAAAATGAACACAATGAAGTGATAAATAGTTAAATTTGCAAATTCTTTACAATAAAAATCACGAAGCCTCAGTTAAATTTACTTACACATGACAGAATGACGTCATTTCTTAGGAGAAGACTGTGTCAAATTGACACAAGAGACGGTTGAAGGTTAATCATCCATAACTCGACACCTAGTATATATCGAACATATGTTCATATAACATTTTTTACTTGTTCGATGTGTAGATTTACCCCCTGAAGTATTAACATGTATTTATGGATCACCCTGTATAGTGGACACAGCTTAACTCTCGCGTTATTATTTTAATTCAAAAGGAAGGAAGTACTAGATTTTTTAGTGAACGTACTAAAACAGTGAAAATTTTTTAAAAAGCAATAGACTTAGTACGAAGGTACAGTGATCCCTCGATGAATACGACACGAGCACCGGCGCTATTCCCACGATTGGGTGAGTCCCCCTGTGGGGCCAGTCAAAACAGAGTAAACAGAAGCTAAGCAGAGACTCGGCTTCGGAGAACAAACAAATTTATAATGAAAACTTTCCGCCTTGCCATGAATTCTCCGAAGTGAACCTAAGTATGTCGCACTCATCGAGATACTACTGTAATAGTGATGGTCACGTTGAGCGCGACGTTGCTTTGCGATCCCCACAATTTCCATTCGAAGGACGACGATCCAGTCGATTCGATTAATTAACCCGGCGATCGAGAGATCGAGCAACAACTCGACGAGTCCTCGACGAACTCGATGAAGTTTCGTTCGGTAGAGCAAGAAAAAAAATTCACGATAACGCGAAACACGCTCGACTGGCTCGACCGGTGAAAAGAACTCTCGCTCCTATTCCTCGACCTATTTCCACCGATTCGAGTTACGAACGCAGACAACTTGTACTTTAAAAATCAAAAAAACCATGTGATTACGATCGAAAACGATGGAGTATGTGGAATTAACACAGCTTTCGGGGTAGAATAGGGCGCCAAAGGTGCCAGCGACCCTTCGTTCACCGCCAGCCTCCGCGATTTCGATGATTTAGAGGGGGTAAATCGCGCAAAATCCACGGCTTCCCGATTAAGCGGCGCGCGGTATGCGGCCGACCGACCGACCGACCAACCGGTCGGAACGTAAATTGCCCAACGATTCGAGGCGTGTGCCACCAGCAATGGTCGAAAAAAAAAAACTCGGTCGTGCTCGACCGTTTTTTTTTCTTTTGTTACAACCCCCGCCGCCACTTTTTTTTTTGTTCAACCCCCGCCACCGTTTTCCTCTCAAGCAAAACGACACGATCATCGTTTCTTTTTAACGCGTTCCTAACTGTGCCAGAAGGCGAAACCGACGACCGATGCGTGGTACGAGTGCGCGCGCGCGCGCGTCTTTTGGAGATGTTCGATTCCGAATCGCTTCTTTGGGTGATCGATTCTTTGGGGGGTCCACTCTTTGGGGGATTGTTTGTTATCATTTGACGTAGTGAGCATATCCTCGTACTTTTATACTCAGAGTACGCCAATCTATCGAAATCGAGCATAACAAATTGGACATACAATTTAAAAAAACAAAGGTGACCTTTAGATCTCCACGCCTCCACTTGCAAGAATACCATTTATACCATATTATGTAGTTTCTTAAACCCTACAATTACTGTAGGTACCATTTTCTCGTACTGTTTGAAACAACCAAGGTATTCAAGTGGACAGAGTTCATGAGACACCCTGTCTATCTATAAAAATGCACCTTAAAAAATCGAAATCAAAGAGTCAATCTAAAAATTATAAAACATTATATGTACATATATGACTATTTATATTGATTAATAATAATTACATTAACATGTTATTGCATATATGTGTAATTGTTAACGATTTTTAGATCGACACTTGCAAAATCGATTCTTTGATTTCGATTTTTCGACAGAATCGGTTCTTGTGATTCGTATCAAAATAGTGTTGAGAATAATTTTTTTTTTAAGTAAATCGAACATCCTTAGCATCTGGCGCCAGGTTGGTACATACGCGTGTGACAATCGAACCACTAGACACTCTCGATTCCACAGGCTATCGCGCGTCTCGTGTATTGGATCTCCATTTCGCCGCGTTTCACCGCGGGAAAACACGGTGGTGAGCGAGTCGCCTGTGAAAATCGGTCTATAGGTGAAGCGTGGCTAGGCCGTTGTTGTGTTTTTTTTTCAAACGATACACACGTTGCTCAAATGTGGCGTGCACACGCTGTTTTTTTTTTATCGTCAGAAGCAGTTCTGATCATTTCGTGCAAAATAGCGGCTTCGTTACAAGCTTGCGTCCCACAGTGGTCCAGAATTAAAGTATACCAGCTCGAATGGTCGAAAATAAATTTCTTTTATTTTCCGAAAAAAACTTGAATCAGTTTACTACTGATCCACCCTTTCGATGTTTATGTCGAGTACATTTGTCATGGAAAGATGGCGATCTCACTAAGAGGCCCATGAAAGCACATTCAGCAGAATTTGATTTGATAATATTTAAAAATCCAAATTGGTCCACAGTACTATGAATAAAAACCAACTGAAGATTCGCCATGTTTAACGATATTTATTCAATTTTGTGGTTAAGCTTCCAATTTGTTAGCTGCCTATTCATACCGAAAATGTGAACAAAATCATATACAACTGTATTACTGCTACGATCTCGCAATAGTAGGATGCTATATAAAAGTATTACACAAACCTCAATTTGTATACTTAGTTTTGACTCTCACAAGGGAAGGCATTAAGTGTCTCCATCCAATTTTGATGTAACTTCCTATGTCTGTTAAGCATTCAAAAATAAGGGATACGTATGTTTTTTTTATCGGCTGACACGAAACTTTAAAGGGTGAAACCACCCTTCGAAATTTCGATCCGAAATTTTTTTGTTACAAACAAATTATATTTTGGACAATTTGTTAGCACCATATTATTCTACATAAAAAACCGCAAGCCTCGTCCATTAGAAGTGTTCATGTATCTCTGGTTTTCGAGATAGTACATTCGGGTCGAAACTTCGAGGGGTGGTTTCACCCCTTAAAGTCGCGTCTCGGCCGATACAAAAAAACACGTATCCCTTATTTTTGACTGCCTAACAGACGCACGAAGTTTCCTCAAAATCGGAGGGGGACACTTCCGTGGCATCCCTTGTTAGTTTTGCCTCTCAGTGTATGTATCGGTATCGTTTCGAGCGTCTTCCCGAAAGGACGCCCCCCCCCCTCCGCTGGGTTCTCGTCCCAGGAATCGTTCCCTCGGAAACAACACGAGGAACCTCGTGTTCTCGTCGCAGACGTGTAACCCGATTTCGAACGGCCTTTGAACAAACAATTTTCCGCGCTTCCGAGAGCCGAAGCGTAGAGAGGTGCCTATTACGCGCGCGCGTGCATTTTATGCCCGCGTCAGTGCGCACATATATACATAC